CCACTCATACATCTTCAAGTTTTGATTCTATTAACTTGGGTATATTTTCAATTATTTTGGCACACCTGTGGGTGTGGCAAGCAATGCTAGGGTATTTATTTTGAAGCTTGTCAAAGGAAGAGTTGGGAAGATTTTCACATTTTTAGAATTTTCATGGTAGTTATAATTTACAAAGAATGTAAAATTGTGTAGTCATTATTTTGCTTTTTTCTAGATGTGTCCCTAAACAGGGTTGCTAACTAATTCTACATCACAGGATTCAGAACTGTACCCTTTCGGAGCCAATGCCTGTAATCGAGGAATTCCGCCTCGTCAGTTTAAGCGTGTTTAAAAGGTTTTCTTTATCCTAGTTGGAACCTGTGGCTATAGTTTGTTTTCACTGCTGAGGAATATTCCATGATGGAAACCGTAATTCATCTGTTTGTCATATCGATGAACATTTGGATTATTTTGGGAGGGTGTGTATATCCAGCCTTCATTTTTTCAGGATTTTCTGTAGAAGATAATGTAATAGTGTAACATCCTCTGCTAGGGAGCCAACACGAACCCTGATTACAGCCACACAGACACTCACGCCTTGTTACCAATACACAGAACCATTTTCTTAAGTTGAAACACAGTAGCAGAACCTGAAGCCATGTGAATGGGTCCTCCGATCTTACACTCGGGAATTCACTTTTTATTACTATGTCTGCTAATTAGGAAGCATATCAATTATACAGAAATCTGAGAATGTATAATTATACGTTTATAACAGAAGAAAACTTATTTTTAATACCCCAGAACACATGGCTATGTTTTTCCCTCATGCCCTACCACAGTTTTTTTTTTTTGCTTGAAATGTGAAATGACACTTGAATAAGGTTTTCTAGCGACTGTTAGACTGGCATAGTTCTTCAGAGACAGAGGATGTAAAGCACATGGAGAATTTCTGTTTGTGGAATGTGATTTCCCGGTGGCCTCATTCAGGCTGCCGCCGCCTTCCCCTCTGGCCGCCTGCACCGTGGGATGTCTGAGGAGGTCCCTGTTTCATCCTCTGGAAGTTCTGAAACGGAAGGAGAGGAGGGCGTGCAGGGTGTGGTACCTTTGTGTTGTCCTTCGAGCTTTTATTTGGAGTCTCGGCTGCCTTGGTGGTTGCTGCCTTTATGTCCCTAGCTCATGGCTTTGTCCTTGTGTCTAACAGGCAGACAGATGGAAAGGGAAGTTGTATTCAGCCAACAGCTTGATCTTATTCTCAAGGCTCAAATAGACTGGGTATTTGGAGATTTCTATGTAAATTGGAATTTTTGGTTTTTAAACATGGTGTCTTATTTGTACTTCAAATGGGTAATGGGTTCTCTTGGAAAAAATATAGCCATAAAGCTGATTTAAAAAAAAAAAGGGGGGGGAGTGGGTGTGAGAGAGAGAAATTACACTAGTAATCACAGGCCGTCGTGGCTTACGCCTGTAATTCCAGCACTTTGAGAGGATGAGGCAGGTGGATCACCTGAGGTCAGGAGTTCGAAACCAGCCTGGACAACATGGTGAAACCCCGTCTGTACTGAAAATATGAAAATTAGCCGGGCATGGTGACACAGGCACCTGTAATCCCAGCTACTTGGGAGGCTGAGGCAGGATAATCACTTGTACCCGGGAGGCAGAGGTTGCAGTGAGCCCAGATCGCACCACTGCACTCCACCTTGGGTGACAGAGCAGAAACTCCTGTCAAAAAAAAAAAAAAAAAAACCACCCCGGTGATGGAAACCTCACTGCATCATCTGTGATGGAGATGGCAGATAATTTCGTTTTTAGTGACAGGATGAATTGGATATATTTGCCTTACCGTCTGAAGCCCCCAGCACCTGGTCGGGGCACCCTCCACTCTGAAGCCCCAGCACCTGATCGGGGCACCCCTCCCTTCTGAAGTCCGCAGCACCTGGTTGGGGCCCCCCTCCCCTTCTGAAGCCCCCAACACCTGGTCGGGGGCGCCCCTCCCCTCTGAAGACCCCAGACCCTCCTGGCCTGTGGTGCTGCTTCTCCAAATGCTGCCCTTGGCTGTTTTTGAGGAGTCACTGGCACCCGAGCAGTCTGCATGTGTCACTTCTTCATGGATCCGGGGTGTCGGTGAAGTCGGTGAAGCTCATTTGTCTCGTCTTCCTCCTCATGTGCCACATCTCACCTGTTGTCTGTCCGAGTTCGTGTGTGTGTGTGTTGTGCATTCTCAGGCTGTACTCAGTGCTTAGGTGACAAGAACGTCTTAGAGCAACGGACTGTCTGCTCCTAAAGGACGCTGTGTGTTAATCGAGACACAGTTTACTTGTGGGGTTTAAATTTCCTGGGTGTGTTGGAGGCAATTAGGGGGAAACAAGGTCTAAATAAAGCCCCTGGGAATGAGGAAGGGAATAATGAAAACAATAACTTTATACACACTTAGCAGTTGATTTAATTTGGTTTTTTTTTGTTTGTTTTTTTTTTTTTTGTTTTTTTGTTTTTTGAGACGGAGTCTCGCTCTGTCACCCAGGCTGGAGTGCAGTGGCCGGATCTCAGCTCACTGCAAGCTCTGCCTCCCGGGTTCACGCCATTCTCCAGCCTCAGCCTCCCGAGTAGCTGGGACTACAGGCGCCCGCCGCCTCGCCCGGCTAGTTTTTTGTATTTCTTAATAGAGACGGGGTTTCACCATGTTAGCCAGGATGGTCTCGATCTCTTGACCTCGTGATCCGCCTGTCTCGGCCTCCCAAAGTGCTGGGATTACAGGCTTGAGCCACCGCGCCCGGCCAGTAGATTTAATTTGAAGGTGAATTTTGCATTTTGGGGACTCCTAAAGCTACTGTTCTTAGGGATTCCTTGATGAGCTGCTTATTTTCTGTCAAGTAGAAAGTAAAGTGGATCGGTTTTGCCTTTAATTCTGACTGACTAGAATCTACTTCCCTTTCCCCCCATTCACGTTAGGGTGGGGATTGGACTAGAAGAGCTGTAGGATCTCTTTATTTCTGATCTTAAATGAATTTTATCTTTACTCACTTTTTTTATTGGTGAGCTGCTATTTTTTCCTTCAATACACTGTTCTTCGGTTTGGGAAATGTGCTATATTTGTACCGTGCTTTAAATGTACACAATGGTTCTAAATTGCTACTTTAAAGTTAGATATAACATCTTAATCAAAATGTCATCCATAAATCAGGCACAGTCTGAGGCCTGGAGACCCCTCTTGTCACTTCCAGCCGTATCTCATTCCCTGGCCACGTTGCCTCTGGCCACATCTCCTCCCCCAACCACGCCGTGTCATCCCCCCACCACGTCACCTCTAGCCACATCACTCTGGCCTCCCTGCCTGCCTCCCTCCCTCCCTCCTGGTGGCCTCCGTGGCTCCTGCTGACTGCCCTCCCGAGGGTCTGTTTGAGGCTTCTTCCCCATTTTCTGCTCCTGAGTGGGTCTCGGGGATGTTTCACAGGATGCAAGGTTTTTCCCCTTCCAGCCGTGGGTCTCTGGGTGACAACTCCAGAGAGGGCACTAAGCTCTCCTTACCCACCTGGAGGCCCTGAGCCCTGACCGCCAGGGCTTTTCTGCAGGGTGTGGGGCAGACTCATGCATGAATTGGACTAAAAAGGTGCTTCCAGGAATCCTTGTTTTAAGTGCACTGGAGCAGAGATGGGGAGAGGGGACCACCTGGTTTGCTCAGAATTTGGTCCTGCTCACAACCAATAAGGCAACATAAGCACCTCCTAAATGAAGCATTCCACAGACTGATTTTACACATGACAGTTGTGATGGCTGGAAAAGGCTTCACACAATGAGTGAATTTGAGCTGCGTTTGAAGGAAGAACAGGTCCCTGCAGGTGGAAATGAAAGATAAGGGTGACCCAAGCCATCAGCAGCAGCGGGGGTGGGGTGAGGTGAGGTGGGGCGGACTCCCTATGGATGGTGGGCATGACTGAAATGCAGGAGAGGGCAGGGGTGTGAAGGAACAGCAGGGCGGCATTAAAATCCCCCTGCAGAGAGGGGAAGTGACTGAGATACTATCACATGTATACAACTGAGACATGATTTGAGGATTTCTGGGAGCCTGTGGGAAGAGCACGTGGTCATCACTAGTTCTCTGGATCTCTTTTTATGAAGTAGTGAAAACAGTCATGCCTCTGCTTATCTTGTTAGCTGTTGCGAAGGTCAAATCGGATAATCTTCAGCTAGCCTTGTAAATGCTAAAGCTTACGACAGACTTCCAGCCCCCTTGTCTCCACGTTCCTTTTCTGCTCGGTAACGTGAACCCTGCTGGGTACCTCACTATCTGCCTGACTTCCCCTCTGTAACGTGAGCCCTGAGCACTTGCTGGGTACCTTGCTGTCTACCTTCCTTCCTCAGTAACATGAGCCCTGAGTATTTGCTGGGTACCTCGCTGCCTGCTGTACAGCTGGGTGTAGCCTTGTCAAACACACTTGGCTGGCACATAAGCAGAAGTGCTCGCCGGGCCTTGGGAGTGCTTTCTGACATGTGGGTGCCTGCTTTTCCCTGTTAGGCTGGAGCTGCAGGAGCCCTCCTAGACCAGAGAGAGGACCAAGGCTTTGGCCTTGGGGTGGCGACTGGGGGAGCTCCCTGGGTTGATTGTGTGGGCGAGAGCAAACTTCAGTCCCGCTGCAGCACCGGGATTCAGGGTTCCTTCTGGAATGTTCTGAGTGAGAAACAGGAATGGTGCACAGGTGCATCTTCTGAGGATTTTATGGTTAATCTAGGGAGAGCCCTGGTGCCTCTGAGCTATGAACCTGCAGAACCACTTCTTCCACTGACAGCTTTCTTTATGTAAAGAAAGACTTACAAACAATGCCACTTCAGATGGAGATATTTGCAGGTGTGGCCTGAAAAATGAACAAAACGACTCTTTCATCTCAAGGAAAGCACCTTACATTATTCCCAGTGATAGACATTTGAGCTTTCCAGTGAATATTAAAGTATAAAAATCTTGTGTCCACCATTTTCTCATGTGATCAATGGTGATATTGATGTGGGTTTTTTTTTTTTGGGGGGGGGGACACATAAATGTGGAAGCTGCTCATAACTCTGAACCAGTGTTTTCTAACCAATGTGATTACAAAATCGTGTGCTGGTAAAAGCCATTAAAGTGCAGGACGGGCCAGTCGACTTAGAAGGAATTGGGGCAGAAAAGCCCATTGACCAGAGCACAGACTCCGCATTGCAGACAGCCTGTACGGAAGTGCTGCTTGTTACATTTGGCAGCAGAGAATTCTAATTGTATATCAGCATGGGGTCAGACTTTCTTCATAAACTTCAGCCACGGCTCTGCAGTGCACTGAACTCAGATGCAGGCATGAGAACCCTGCTGTCTGAGGTGCAGAGATGTTAGGGGTTTTCACAGCAGCACAAACTATTGCCACGCTGCTGCTTATTTTGGAAAATGGTTTCTTCTTTAAAACTGTTAAGATGTAATGACTTTATCATTGTAAAATGAACTAAATTGTTTCTTTTTGTGACGGAGTCTTGCTCTGCCACCCAGGCTGGAGTGCAGTGGTGTGTGACCTCAGCTCACTTCAACCTCTGCCTCCTGAGTTCAAGCGATTCTTCTGCCTCAGCCTCCCTAGGTAGCTGGGACTACAGGTGTCTGCCACCATGCCCGGCTACTTTTTGTATTTTAGTAGAGACGGGGTTTCACCATGGCCAGGCCAGTCTCGAACTCCTGACCTCAAGTGATCCACCTACCTCTGCCTCCCAAAGTGCTGGAATTACAGGCATGAGCCACCACTCCTGGCCTCATGAGAAGGCTTTTTGTGATCTTCAATAAAGTGCAAAGGGTTCCTGAGACCCAAAAGTTTGAAAACCACTGGCTTAAACCAACAAAATTGTCCACGATTCTTCAGTGTGTCTTCTGTTGATGGAGAAAGGACGTAACGGTTGCTTTACTTTTTTCCTTTCACAACTCAATGGTGCTGGGACAACTGGGGTATCCACATGGAAAAGGATGGCCTGGGACCCTTCCTCACCCTACACATAAAGCTCAAAATGGATCCAACGTAAGGAGCCAATTGTGAGGGATCCGGGCCTACTTTTAAGATCTTGTGGGACCTAAATTGCCAAGATAAAGGCCTTGTATCTAAATACAGTGATATTTTGAGTTTCTGGGGTTGTGACTTTAACATGGGAATCTGGGGCATGAGGGGCAATTCAGCCTATGACAACTTTAGGGGGCGAATCCTGGTGAAACTGTTACGTTGGATTAGGCAATGTTTCCTTAGATGAGACATCTAAAGCATAACAAGCAACTGATGGGAAAAAGACGGTATCAAAATTAAAAATGTTCATTTCAGAGGATACTATTAAAGTAAAAAGACAACCCACAGAACAGGATACATTATCCCAATAAGGGCCTGATATCAAGAATATATTTAAAAACTCTTAAAATCCAATTTAAAAATGGACAAAGGATTTGAATACATTCTCCAAAGAAATAAATGCCTTAAAAAGCACATGAGATGTTTAACAGAATTCATCATCTTAGAAATGGAAATCAAAACCACCGTGAGATACCACTTCACAACCACCAAGATGAATAAAACCCCAGTATTGGACAGTGACATGGTGAATTTGGGAAAACTGAAATCTTTAGTGGGAGGGGAAGTAAAATGGTACAGTTGCTTTGGAAAAGTCTGGCAGTTCCTCAGAAAAGTTAAGCATAAAATCACTGCACGACCCAGCAATTTCACTCCTAGGCTTATGCCCAAGAAAATTGAAAACACTTTTACAAAAAAAATCTTATGCAAGAATCTTCATAGCAGCACTATTCGTAATAGTAGAAACAACCCAGGTGTCAACAGATGAATGGATGAAGAAAATATGTACACAATGGAATATCACTCAGCCGTAAAAAGGAACAAAAGAACATGTGCTCCAACCCGAACGAGCCTTGGACGTGAAAGATGCCGGTGCCAAAGGTTGTGCACTGTGAGATTCCACTCACCTTGGACGTGAAAGATGCCAGCACCAAAGATCATGCCAAAGGTCACACACTGTGTATGATTCTCCTCACAACAGGTGTCTAGAATGGGCAAATCCAGAGAAACGGAAGACAGCTGACGATTGCCAGGGGCTAGAGGAAGGAAGGAGCAGGTGCTGACTCTTAATGGGTTCAAGATTTCTTTGGCCGGTGGTGAAAAAGTCCCGGAACTACATACTAGTGGTTGGTTGTTGTGCAGCTTTGAGAATACACTAAAAACACTGAATTGTATCCTTTAATATTGGGGCTTTTATGGTTTGTAAATTGCATTTCAATTTAAAAAGGAACTCAAGAACTTCTTTGGTGTTGATATTTAGAATGTGAAAGAGACAGTATCCAAAACATGTTACTACGTAACTCACGTCCCCAGAGAGTTAAACTTCATTAAAGGGTGTGTTTGAGCCTAGGAGACACAACGATCCTATACTAGACGTTACAGCTCATCTCACTGATTTCTATCTCACATAACAAGCATATTCAGGGAAAACGGTCTTGTAAACATGAGCTGAATGCTATGCAGAGGCACATTCCTCTTACCGGGATGGTCTTTAGTGGTGCAGTAAGAGATGCGGTCATAGCAACGTTAGTTTAATTTCCATGGCAACAGGAATTTGGCACATTGATGAGTTAGATGTCCCTGCACAGCTCCTAACAGGGTTGCCCATTTCTGTGGTGTCTGTGTACATTCTTGCTGTGGAAATAAGTGATAGCACCTGCACAGACACTTGCTCGGAAACGCGCACGAAGCTGGTGAAAGCAGAGGACAGGCGAGAGGGAAGCATGGCTCAGTCCTGGCAAAGGAGACGGTTATTCCGAATGCGGAAGATTCAGGAACACGATCCTTGGGAAGACTGGTGATGTCCGTGGATCTCACCGCTGTCGGGTTGTATCTGCAGCCAGTTACCGGAGCTGTCAGAACCGCATGTGTTGCTATCGGTGTCATCACTCAACGCTTCTGACTTTTCCTGTTGCTGAGGATGATTGCATGTGGCGGAAGCAAAGTGCTGACTTAGCACAGATCATCAGATCCCAGTTCTTTTCTATCAAGGGGGGCAGGGTTAGAACCCCGCCCCCCCCTACTCCCCCATCCCATTGTTGAAAATAATAGTTGGCTTGGGAGGGTTTTTACTCCTAAGGTTGAAACCGTGCATTTCTAGAGCCTGGGCTGTCAGCTGTGTGTGGCTGGGGAATGCTGGGTCTGTGGTCGTCTGGCCGCTGGCAGCCCTGCTGGTGGGTCCTGCCTCTGACATCGTTCATTTCTGAAGCTTGCTTTCCCTGGTGTTGGAAGTAGCAGCACTGGAGGAACAGCCTCCTTCCTACAGCGAAGCTCTGCCAAGAGAGAAGACACGGAGCGTCTGTTGAGGGATGTGACGTTCGGGTCACCGCACCATGCGTTCTGCTTCTCAGTAGTGCCTCCTGGTTGATGTTACCATCACCTGGCATTACCCAGGAGGTAACTCGCAGATGCCACACTGATGGAAAGCTACGGCAGCGTGGTTCGAGTCCAGGGCCAGCTGGAGCATATCAGCAAGGTTGGGCTGGACGCATGTGCTCCACGCAGTGGGTGGGTCTGTGGAGCTGGGGTGTCGTGAGAGCCAGAGGGTCCTGGTAGAACCCTGCCAGATGACAGGAAAGAGGCCCATGAGTAGAGGAACCAGTGGAATCGAGGCAGGGAACCGAAGGAGCGAGCCGTCACAGGGCGGAAGGCTTAGGAGCCAGCAGGCGAGTGGGATGTGGCCTCAGGGTGCTGCTGGGTTAGTGAGAGGCCTTCTGTGACTTTTCTGAGAGTGTAGTCGGTTGTACGGGTGGGTGCCTGCTCCCGCAGATAGAAGAGCCAAGCGTCCTGCAGGAGACCAACGTGTGCACTGGGAGTTCCCAGGTGCGTGTCCTGGCACGCGGCCCAGAGGCCCCTGACAAGGTTCAGTGCACCAGGCACACAGTGGACTGTTGGTGCCTGACCCAACGAGGGAGTGAGGGAGGGCCGAGTTACATGTGCGGAGATGCACGGGACGGGGTGCAGTCAGGTGGATAGTCATGCTGTGGGGTCCAGGAGAGACGGGTTCGAGAATAAATGGGACGGGGGTAGAGTCAGGTGGAGAGTCATGCTGCTGGAGTCTGGGAAATGTGTTTTTGCTTCCATCAGAGAAGCTGGACCTGAGCATGTCTGTGCTTTGACATTTAATCTGTGCACTATCCTCGACAGGGTGTGTATCTCTGTGGCAGAGGACACCCTGGGCACAGTGGATGTCAGTGGCCGTGGCTGGACTCGGGATCCGTGAATGTTGCGTGATCGAACGTGTTTGGTACATTCTCAGCTCCTGCCCAGGTGCCTCCCAAACCTCGGGTGTTGTGGCCCCCCACACCTTTCCCATCTACGTGTAGCATGACCACCACCTTCCTACCATGTGTTTGTCCTACCACGGCTGCTGTGTCTAATGGATGCTTTGCTTTCCAGCTACTTTCCTATAATCAAAACCCTTGACTTTGCTTGTGTTTCAGAGACGACAGGGTATTAGTCTTTCATGATTGCTCTGAGGATTTCAAAAAGCAAATATACCTTACAGGATGCAAGATATTGGAGACAGTAATTATAGATGACTTTTCTCAGTCTTTTGATTGTGGTAAAATTACATAGCACTCGAACCATTTTTAAGTGTATGGTTTGGTGGTATTAACTCTGGTAAGCACTACAGATTGCTTGGAAAATAGGCTTTCTCAGTAAGAGAAGGGGCAAGGAGAAGAGCTCTCAAGACTATCTTGAGATTTGAGGAAGTGTTTTAGGTTTTGCTCACTGGTTCCCAGTGTAAAGGAACTATTGAAGACGTGGGATGGCGAAGGTAAGGTCTGTGATCTCAGGAAGTGCTGGGATGGGCAGCTTTCCTACTGTGATGGGGGCACTTGCCCTCAAACCCGCCTGAGATAATCACTTGAGGATGGTGCTGCACTGTGACGGCTCTGAACTTGGTCTCCTTGAACGTTGCCAAGTGCATAAGCTTTGGCGGTTACCATCTAGTGTCTGCAGGAGACCTAGAATTTGAACGTTGTTGACTTTAGAACACACTCATTCTTATAACACTCTACCTATTCTCATCAATAGGAAATATGCTGTGTCCTTTTTTTTTTTTTTTTTTTTTTTTTTTGCTCTAATATTTGGTGTTGCAGTAGCAGTAGTTGCAGCGGACGCTACTTCTAGTTCATGGTTATTGCCAAACACAAGTTTCTGGAAACTGTGTGAAAGATGAAGGGGGAAAGTGGTTTTCTGCATAAGGCTTTTTTGAACATCTTGTTTTTTTCTGGAATATCTGTCATGGTGTAAAACATTTCCATATTTAGGGGTTTGTAATGTGTTTGATACTGGTTGGCTTTGAAACTCCATGTTTTTGCATGTCCTGGGGGTGCTTTATCCTGTTATTCTATGATATAGCTAGTTTTCAAAACTATTGGTTATTTCACTTTAAAAACCAAAGCAGCTTACATTATGAGTGTGATTCCTGTAAGAATGTAATTGTAAAATTGATTTGTGTTCAATAAACTTACTGGAATGACTAGTTAGATCAGTGGATGAAAAGATGATAAGAACATGTCAGGTCTCTGGGCCAGGAAGGACTTCCAAATAATACACGTGATACGCAGTAATTTCTTAACAAAAGATTAGATTTAGTACATGACTGTTTAAAACCTCTGTATTTTCTATTATAGCCATTCCACAGTGCCCACGGGGGTGGGCTGCAGGACTGCCTATGGATACCAAGGTCTGTGGGTGCTCAGGTCCCTGGTGTAAAACGGCATCGTGTTTGCATATGACATACGCACATCCTCCTGCAGACTTTCAGTCATGTCAGGGTTGCTCGTAACACCTATACCATGGATATACCATGCGAGTAGTTGTTAAACGATATTGTTTAATGAATAATAAAGTCTGAATGCTTAGTACAAACACCTTAAAGTATTCTTAAACAATGGTTGGTTGAATCCACAGGCCTGGAACCCCGGGATAGAGTACAAACTCTAGAAGCAAAATGAACAAATAAAGAACTTGAGGTTAGCAGTGACGGGTGTGGGATCACACTGAATCTCGTGTGTTTTCCTGTGTCACTACAGAGTGTAAATGGAAACCATTTTTAGCTTAAGGTAAAATAGGTAACAGGAAACACTACAGAATGGGCACGAAGGCGCGTCCCTCATTACCACGTGTTACAGCCAAGCGTCTGCCTCCTGGGGAAGGATCTGTCTTGTGGGGAGACTAGACGTTGATGACTTCTGGACGTGTGAAAGGAAATGCCCTCCGAGAAGCGTGGTTTTGGCCGGAGCACATCAGACGAGAGTTAGCGTGGCATGGAGTTGCCACAGTGCCCCTCATGTCTGCTGCTTCTCTCCTCCTCACCGCTGGCCCTGACTCTCACCAAGGGAGGAAAGTTCAGCTCCAGCTGAACCCCACACAGGGCTTGTCGGTCTCTAGGGTGGGTGCTGCCTTCTCCTGAACAGGCTGTGGCAGAGGAAGGTCTGGCCATACTTGAGCTGTGAGAGATGCTCTCAGAGATCCAGCATCCTGCAAACCCAGGTGCTGAAGGTTCCTCCTCCACCGTCCTGCAGGGAGAGGGGTCTGTTCCTGCTTCCCCTCAACCCGAGCTGACTTCTTGTCTGTTCTGTACACCTAGCTCTTAAGAGCAGTTATTGTTAAAAATAATCATTTAGCAGACAAACACCATAAGGTGACAGCCTGGGAGGGTAGATGGGGCTGGAGGGTGGTTTCCTGAGCAACAGGGTTCAGTTTTCTGTTTTGGCATCACTCGACCCAAGGCCCCCAGATAATTGAAATATTGTCAGCAAAACACCCATGTTGTATCTGAGGGTTTTTTTAAAGGAATGGGTGCAAACTTCTAACAGGGACCTGACAAAAGAGAAAGATTTTTTCTCTGCAAATGAAGGTCGAGGCTGGGTGGCATTTGCCATCTGTGACTAGCAGGGACCCAGGCTGCTTCCCTCCTGCTGCCCAACTCCTGACCCTCCAACTCCTACACCTGTTCCCACCAGCAGGAAGAAGAGCGGGAAGGTGCCTTTTCCCCTTTAAGGGGATTAGGTGAGAGTTGCGCCTGCCATTTCTCTAGTCCCTGGGGTGATTCTCCAGCATGGATGGGAGTTGGGTTTGGCGGCCTGAGCCCTGTGAAGCTGGAGTTGCTGTTCCCTGAGCAGTAGGAAGCCTGGACTCCAGGAAGTGGGGTCAGAGGGTAGCCTTGCTGCATCCACAGGAGGGGGCCCCTCATTCCAGTTGACATCATCACTGCAGAGGGGGGTGTGGGCTTTCATGGTCCATTGATAAATAGAACGTTACTTTTTTTTTTTTTTTAAAGCACATCAAACCCTAATTCCTTCAGCCTTTACTAAAGTGGCATTTTGTAATTCCACATGATTTCATTATACCCGCAGGAGAGAATGTTTCCTGTAAACCAGAAGCGTCGCTGAGATAATTCTCAGCCCATTCAGAGAGTTCATTTTCCCAAGGTTAAAGACACAGCCTCGGGAGGGTTTGAGGACGCACCGTGACAGTCTCAGGAGGGGTTGAGGAAACACCCGGGACACAGCCTCAGGAGGTGTTGAGGACGCATCGTGACAGTCTCAGGTCCTGGACATGTGCCCAAGGTGTTTGGGGCACAACTTGGTCTTACACATTTTAGGGAGATGTGAGACATCAATATATGTGAGATGTACGTCGGTTTGGTCCAGGAAGGAGGGATGACTCGAAGCGGGGAGGGGTTTCCAGGTCACAGGTAGATCAGAGACAGATGCGTTTCCGGTGAGCCTTTCCGGAGAAAGCGGTAAGATCCGCATTTATCTCTGTGTGCAGATGGTGACTTTGAGTTCTTCCCTCTGTCCCTGAGGAATTTCCTTGTGGACCAACGGTTGTGAGGGAGGTACGTGGCTTTTTTTTTTTTTTTCCTTTTTCTTCCAGTCTCTGTTAGGAGCCTGGGAGGCAGGTTTGCCCTATGCCATTCCCCACCTTGTCTTCTCTTTAGCTTAGTGATTTTGGGGTCCTGAGATGTGCTTTCACTTCACACTTCTGAGCACACTGGCACTCTAAACAGTGTTGTAGGAGGCCGTCTAACTGATTTAGAAGAAAAAACTATTTGGAAGGACTTGAACACCTTAGTCCTTTGTCTATTTGCCCCGAGGCTGTTACGCCGCCCCGGGGTGGGTGGCCTTAGAAAGCTGTGCCCCTCTGAGTGCCTGCCTGTGGAATCTGGTGAGTTTGAAGTTAATCCAGCAGCTACATGTTTTGGAAAGCAGATTGTTTCTTAAAGTGTTGGTGATTATGATTCTAACACTGGAATTTCAATATGTGTTTTCCACCCTTCTTTCTTTGTCTCCTCATACCCTGAGATGCTGCTGCATTTGCCCTTAGGCTTCATTGAGGGAAGGGTCAGTTCTGGCCCTTTCTTTAGATATTGACCTTGAATGGACAGAATGGAGATTCAGAAAAACCCTTGAGCTGTGAGAGTGTGCCGATATCTATGTAAGTGGAATTCATGTGTTA